TCTCGGGTGTATTTATTACAGCTTTCCCTGCACTATTCACAACGCTGACCACATGGACCGTAGCAGCGCCATAAACACTGATAAACAACCACATGACGGCAACTCAGTTGTCTATTGAACTGCATTTAAAATGATCATTTTAAATGTATTATTGACTTAGATTTGCATCAGTTCAAGGTGGCAGGAACACTATTTTTGAGGTGCTCCTGCTCTTGTTCTGGACTTAAATGCTTTCTTAGATCTTCTTATGTAGATTTCTGTTAAAAAAGGTGTTACTAAGTATTATCTCACATGTTGTAGATAGTTTAAAGAGGTTATTTTTGACTAGACTGACAAGCTCACAGCTTGTAAAGGCTGTCATCTTAAAACAGCACAAAAGAACGTTGTAGGAATTGACACTGTTCTATAAATGCTAATGCTGTAGCACTGCCTGGGGGGCCTGGGTCACTTCCTGTAGAAGTAAGATATTATATACACATATATAACCACATACCACAAGGTTACTGACAATGATAAGATTTAGAAATTTGTCATGAAATTTTAAACAGCTGTTTCTTAAAGATAGAGGACTCCATTTTTACGGTGGCCCAGAAGGTTCACCAATTACAAAAGCTACAATGACAAAAGGCGTACGAGACTGTGGGGCTTTATGATGGTGCTGCAAGTCCAATGAGCAGATTAAGAATGCTGTTGTCGCTCATTTACTTTCGATATTGGCATAATTAAGTTAGTAGCATAACTTCACTTTTAGCATAACTTCTGCTTTTATATTCTGCTCATTTATTTTAGTATGTTTCTGATTTTCATTCTATTATTTTTGCTATTGTAGGTTTTGTTGTTGGGTCTTCTATATTACTGCGAAACTTCAGGGCCATGGTAAGTCTTGGTCCATGTCCCGCTCAGATAAGCAGAACTTGTTCTCAGCATTAAAATGATGTTTCTGTAGACGACGCGTGAACCTTAGTTCAAAGACAAGCTAAACGCTAGGTGTACTGTTGTTTTTGCCTGAAAATGTTTTATTGATTCATAAAAATACTTTTTTTAGAAACATCTTAAAAGTGTAAATTTATCATTTAAATGACCATGAAAAGTCAAACTGTAAAGGTTGATTAAAAAATGTTAATAGGGAGCCTAAGTCACGCCCATCTACTTCTGGACCATGGGCTCCCGGAAGAAGGAAAAAATGAATGCAAGTCAACGGGGCTAAAAACGCTATTTTCTAATTCTGCTTGTTTTGTACCACGGATTTCACATATGACGTCCGTGAATTTTAAAGAAGCATTTTGCTACCAAGAACTCCAGGACTACAAATGCTCTTCACGAAAGTGAAATCATCAAACAAGACACGGAGAAAAACAGATGGAAAATGGCTGTGAGTTCAGCAAGCTTGAAATCCTTCTTTCAGAAGGAAAGAGCCACTGTAAATATGGCCATGTGGTAAGTAGCAGCTGCGCTAGGGAATAGGAGATTCTGTGGAGACGTCATATATGCGACGTGTCGATGTCTCATTTGTAGTTATGCCAATTACGAACTGATAAATCTCAAAATGTGATTGGTATGGTGAAAACACCCATCGTTAGTTTTCATTTAAATTGCAGTAAAACATATGTGCGATCCAGGGCGTAAGGCAAATTAGAAAATAGCTCTTTCAGCCCCAACTGACTTGCATTTATGCCTCTTTCGCACTAGCATCGGCTCCACACCACCCAGATAGCCCCAGCTTGGCCCAGTTGATTCCACACATCCTTGCTTAGGAACGGAAGGAATGCAGTGAGAGAAGTTCTCAGCTCCTAGGTAATCAGCACGATAATGCCGTAAGCCCAGTTGGGCTGATTCTACCCACCAATCGAAGGCTTCCCCTATTGGAAGGTGTGAATTTGAGCCGGCTTGTCAGTCAGCAGTGGGTGTGTTGGCCCTGGTCAGCCTGAAGCAGACCACCTCAGGGAAAGGGCTGAAAAACAGTCCGGTTGCACCCTGAAAAAAGGCAGGCTATGCTAATGTGAACACTCTCCATGCTATCCAGACCATGTGGAGCCGATGCTAGTTGTCAGCACCGATATGAAATTTTTGGGCAGATGCCAATATTCTATATTAATATCACAGTTATGGCCGATAACCGATATTTGCCGATACCGATAAACTGACATTAATGCTTCTAAAACCATCAGATTTTGCATAGAATAAAAATGATTAAAGCTGAATTTACGATATTATGTAGAAACACCACACACGTTTACGCTTCTGAGATGATTACAATCACTGTCACATGACTCAGCAAATACACATCACCCCCCCTCCCCCCACCCTCTGAAACAAATGGAAACAAGATGGTAAAAATATTGGCTATTAATATCGGCTCAGTTTTATTTATCGGACCGATATGTTAAACATGACCAACATCTGCCGATACCGATATTGATGCCTAAAAACTGCGGATCCCTACTTGCATTTATTTTTTTCATTCTTCCGCGGACCCATGAGCAGACCGGAAGGGGAGGAGACTTAGGCTCCCTATAAAGTTTGAGCTGCTACTTGTCCTTCTGATCAGAAACAAACTCTGCTTCTCCTAACTCGGGTTGTATAAGAAGCTTTCCATGGGTGACATGCTAATAAATCTCATTAGAGCCAAACTTCAAAGACAACATGGTTTTAAAATGGTAAACTAGAACAACTAGAAGGTTTTTTTGCTTTCTTGACCAAAGCTGCAGTTTAGGCCAACATCAGTGACGACATGACCTGAACTCGGTGGCCTAATTGCTGCTAGTATACGTAGAAACACACGCCACATTTAGCTCCCAATTGAAGCCTTCTTTAACATTTAGCAAGAACGAGGCTGAAACCCTGCCTCATCACTTTTCTGAGAAACTTCCTCATTGTTGTGTCACTCCTGACTTGTAATTAATGCTGAAAAAGCACCTGAGCTGTTTTCTCAGCACCTGCTGATATGATACAAAATATAACAAAAAAGCCTCCCGTTGGGGCAAAACGGTGACAGGAATGAAGAGAGATGCACCAACGGGATCGCGGGCGAGATCCAGGTCTCATTAGCATTCCTGGTTCACGCAGTGTGGGAGGCAGGAACCGCAACCATAAGTTTGGGGAGACTAAAAGAGATCTCAACGCCTACGTATGAAACATGACATTTACTCTGCAAATACCCTGGTGTTCTCTTAATTGTGGGGGAGGGGCGCTCACACGCTCTCACCCTCAGAGCCAGCAGACTTCTTATGAATCTTAAAAGCAGCAGAGACGTAGAAATCCCCAGAAAGCAACAGTATGGTAGAGCTTATTTAGAATTTACTGCTAGTAATTTGGATATTCTGGATTCCTGACTTTTCCATTTCTTCCAATCAACAAATTATGACAGGTAATCTGACAACAGTGCCACCTGCAGGACACTTCTCTCTGGGGCACTTTTATTTGTTTGACTATGTTTTTCTGGCTTCAGTTACCAATGAAAATACTAATATAAACTCACTTTGTGAGCCGTGACTCGCCTATCTCGTGTTGGATGTGAATGCACCACTAGATGGAGACACTAAACTATTGCTTCTTTATTTTAACTAACATGTAGCGTGCTGGTGCCAATATACATAACTAGTCTTGCCCTTTATGGACGATGTGCATAACCAGGTGTTTTAGGCGTCCTTTGCCTTGGTTGGCTAGTAACTTGGCTAATGCTAACAACAGCAAAAACCTCCCGTTAGCCTTGCATAGCGGTTGCATCTTGTTGATCCTATGCTTTTACTAGGAGTACTAGAATAAACGCACTGTAACAAAAACAAGTACATAGGGGATTGGACCGAAAACCAGGTTCTGTTGTCAGTTATCCATGACCGATTCAAATAAACCAAATCAATATGGCTGCCGCGGCTAACAGAGTTTGGAAATTGCAACCAAAAAACGACTTCGACAGGGACAGGTTTATAAAAATTGATGAACACATCCTAACCTACAAACGGGTTCCATTAAGTGGGTTTGGAGGATGTGTGACAGCTACAGAAATGGAATGCAGCCCGTATTATTACTCTAATTTGTCTGTGAAAGGATTGTGGATGTTCCATTTCTGTCCAAGAATTGGCCACTAAACCCCACATCGGTTCACCTTTGGTTAGATTAACTCCACAGTTGGACAGAAACGGTCCAGAGGACCTTATCTGCAGTGTTTAACAGCTAAAGTAAACCATCTTTAATTTACTCAAAACATAGAAGTTCTCCTGTATTATTCTTCTTTTTTAGCCAAATCCCACAAGAATTACATGTAAGTTTAAATTTTTTATGCTGCTGATTCTGCTTTAAGACTACAGGCCCTGGGGATAAATCAGGTTAAATTGCTATAGTCCGCTTTGATAAACATGTTTAATAATTTATCGTTGGTTTTGTACTGTTGGGATGACTAAATCTAACTCAGGCCCTGTCCACACGTAGCCGGGGTTCTGCCAAAACGTTGATATTTTTCTACGTTTTGGCCTGTCATCCACACGAAAACGGAGTTTTTTCACACGAAAACGGATCTTTTTAAAAACTCCGGCCAAAGTGAAGATCTGCGTTTTCTCCGTTTTGGGTGTCTGCGTGTGGACGGACAAAACCGGAGTTTTAAGGTCCGCAGCGTCACTTTCCGCGACAAAAAAATGCTGACATCACGTGTGCGACCTGTGTTTACACTAGCCGACATCATGGATGCCCTCAGAGCTGCGCTCGCTTTATCAATTGTCCAAGCGCTTTCTGCTTGTTTGGTTTTGCAAGCGGAATTACTGCTCCATGCGGAAGACCACAGACGAAGGACGAGGTTAAGAACGGGGGAAGTACTGCCGCCTACAGGTCTGGCATGTCCTTAACAATGTATTTATCCGGGTACGTGTGGATGGAGTTTTTTTTTTAGAACGAGGTGGTGTGGATGCAAGTTTTTGGAGGGGCGGATATTCGTTTTAAAAAAACGGCTACGTGTGGACTAGGCCTTAGTTCACGTATAAGAGAGCAGTCCTTTATGATTTGAATACCTTCGCAGCCTCCTTGGGCAGATCAAAGGGAATCCTCTGTCGAGTTTTTGGAGGCAGCTGACTGAGGACGTCGGCTTTGAGTCGACGAATCATGATCTGACCCAGTCGTTGGTGCAGCTCCTCCAGGTTCGACGCCCCACGGCAGTCCCACTGCCTGCGAGTCCCAAAGTACCTGAAAACAAACAAGCGGCACACTTACATGCGTTTCTTTTATCTGATGTGCTTCTACCAGCTAAACGCTCAGGAAAGTTCCCACCTGGGAGCTTCCCGGCTCTCCTACACCGTTCCATTGTTCCCGCAGAAGTAGTCCTGTTTTTGCTTAAGGCCACTTTGCAAAAGAGCAGAGAAGTATTCTGTCTGACGGCCAAGGCGATCGGTTTGTCCCAGAACCCAACTTTTACAGTTTACCAGCCAAAAGCATTGTTAGAATATCACTGGCCCTCCACACAAAGGCTGGTTGTCTGCCATGTTGGCTGAAACAGTGGACAAACTTCACATAACTAAATGTGCCGTTTCACACCTCAGCCTGTAAAGTTTCTGCTGCTAAGAAGCACAAAACGACAGGGCGAACCTTCTCTGTGGCTCAAAGCGGCATTCCCCCGCCACAATAAAAGCGTCTTACACAAAGTGCTACCACTGGTGTCCGTCCCATCCCCCGGCCGAGCTGCACACTTTGATGGACCTCCAAAACAATGCATTTGATGTGTTAGTTCACAAGTGTAACTGATGGTTACTGGCAACCAGGAGTCGGCTGGCAGTCCACTGAGGCCTGGCACTTCAACAATCCTCCCAGCTCAGCATCCGTACCACTTCGGTCTCAGGTACACCTCATCCCCACAGACACAATTAAACATGTCAGGAAATGTTTAAACTTTATAACTGAACCTCAGCTGGAATAGTTCACAAAATTAATTTGATCTAAGAAAGGGATGAAAGAGTCTGTACCACTCACATGCTTGCTACATAAATATCAAGATTCTTCAAAACAGGAAATGACAACTGAAGGGCAGCAAGCTAAAGCTAGATATCAAGTAGCTTAGCCTAGCATAAAAAAATAAGCAATTAGGAAATTATTAAAAAGAAGTAGGCTAAAGCTAGATTATAGTTAGCTTAGATTAGCATTAACAGAAGTAAAAACGTAATGGCCGTTTTTCAATATCTGTACTCATGGTGAACTCTGGTGAAGTTTTCCAGACCCTTTATAAAAAACCATTGTTGTGCAAATTGAGCTCTATAGCATATTTGTGATGTTTCTCCAAGGCTTAAAGCACCCAGCTTGGCTTCCCTGAAAATAATTAGGAAGGCACATATTTGTAAGGTCTGAGAATTGATTACCCATATCGGGGTAAAAACCAGGCCAGAAGGGTGAGAGAACAGTCTATAGATCTGTGAGAGCTGATCGTGTCTGGGACAGATGTGCAGAAAGGATAAAGAACGAGACACTGCTGTTCTGAGACAGCAAAAGTTTGGAACCAATACACAACTTCCTGACTTTCTCAGCCAGTTAAATCAGACAGTTAGGGACAATGGCTCTTTGTCAGTCTGGGGAGGGGCATCTATGGTTCCTTCATGCAACTAGGAACCTTTTATTTTGAAAACTTTAAGACACAAATGGATTATTTTCATACAAAAAACGTTTATGCATTATTTTAAGGTTCAGAAATGAGCTTGAAGGGGTTTAAATAGCCTGGAGGGTTTCAGGATATAAACTGGATCAATTAGAAGGTATGAAGACATTTGGGAAATGTCACCTGTAATGGGCGTTGCAATATTTCTTGGCGTAGTCTGTCCATGTTCCAAACCTTCTGGGATAGAGGGCATCAATCTGCATGAAAAGCTGAGGAGAACAGAGGCCGTAAATTTAATTAACAACATCAGACCAAAACTAAAGGTGAGAGGATGAATTTGTCAGAGAGAAACAGTAGAAAGAAAACTAAACTTCTGGAATTTAGGTCTTTATATGGTAGTAATGTCACTTTTATACAAATGTTTCTCTCCTGTATGTGTAGGGATGTCCCGATACCGATACTGCAGCCTTCAGTATTGACCGATACCAATATCAGTCCGATATGACATCAGCACAAATCATACATACTTTTACCTTTTTCATAGTGTGGAACGTATGAAGGGCTTCATCAAGTGATATTACTCAACCAGCAACAGTAATTCCACCACGGGAAACTTGCGCATGACAAGTGTTGCACTGAGGCAAACTGTCTTTTTCAGACTTTAACGAAAAATACAGCCCCAAGGCCGACATAGTTCCTTGCTACTTTGCTAGCACACACTGTTCTGATCACATGGACTTTGCGTGCTGGACCTGGGTGCTGATGGATAGAATTGCTGGAATGGAATTTAAAGCGGAACGTACTGCTAATATCACAGATTTTTGATGTAGTCCGATATAATCTGATACAGATATTTTGGGCCGATATCAATATCGGAACGGGACATCAAATCTTAATTACATTTTAGTAATTAACAATTAAGTTAAAAAAATTTACAGCTGTACAACAACATTTTTTAATTGTAATTCATCGCATGAGTTCCATAAATATTGGGTTTTAGGCTTAGGCGGTGCACCGCTCACGCAGCGCGCCTGCTTATGTAGTGTGTCGCCTACGCAGTGGAAAGACTGGGTTTGTCCACAGTTGCACGCATGGTTTGGTTGGCAATCACTCAGACAGAATATTTTGTGTATGCAAATACAATTTTGTTCACTCATAGAGCGAACTAGTCCCTTCCAACGCGGAGTGTTTCAGATTCAAAGTGGGAGCGAAAGCGTTCCAAACAGCTGGTCCCTCGACGTCACAAAATCACCGGAGAATTGCCACACCAAATGTGATTTCGGAAGATTACATGATAACAAGCTAGGAGAGGACGGCAGGATGTATCATGTGGTTTATTTTATTTTCTGTTTACCACAGCTACGGAGCTTTCACAGGAAATGACATCTTCTTTGCTAGTTAAGCAACTGGAAATCAGCATGTGACTTTGACTTATAAAGTTTCCGTATGTTTTGTACTGCTTTTGAGTTTGACTTCCTGTCTGGCACGATCTGAACTGTGGAAGTGTAGCATGTAAAAATGAAACTCGAAACATAAGCAGAGCATCCTTATGCTTCTGGGACAAAATGTTACTCTTCATGGCTGGTGGAAAGGAACCCAACCCCTTATAGGCGTATAATTGCTGTGAAGTATTATTACGGCCGTTTCAAGGTGCTTTCGCATCTGGTGGACAGGAGGAGTGATTCACCACACAAGATGCCCAGTATGCACACATTACATGTGGCTGTTGCACTGCCTTTGCAGTCCGGTGCTAAATGCATCCAAAGTGTAGACATTTACGCTCTCCTGAGGATACACATTAGCTCTCCATTAGCCAGCTTGCTAACAGATACGTGTTATGGTGACATAATTCCATGCCTCTCTTAAAACTGTGTGACGTTACGGGGTTGTTGTCCATGCAACGAAGAATGCTGGATCTTGTTAAATTTCAAACTAAGCCATCGTTATTACATTTGAAAATCTCTTTTTCAGGATGAATGTAAAGAGCAAGTCACCCCCAAATCAACTTTTTCTTCTGATAAACTATATAAATGCGTGTCTAATCGTGCTGCAGACACATGTAGTTAATAGTTTAGCAATTTAGTGCATTTTAGTTAAAATTTTAATTTTCTGCCTAAAACTGTCAGTGTTGTGCTGTTGTCAGGAAAAAACTCTACACTGCATTTGAATTTAAATCTGCCATCGCTATTGGCTAAGAGGTACCCTAGAACGATAGCTGGTACCATATGATGTCACAATGTCATTGAGAGCCTGTGTGTGTGTGTGTGTGTGTATTTGTTAGCAGCTCCGCCCTCTCGGTCTGCTAGGCAACAGCATTTGTTGCATTTTCCAAACAGGAAGTGGGAGCGGAGTAATACTCTGGTAGCGGGTGACTTGCTCTTTAAGAGTTCATGCTTGCTGTTTAGTGGGGTTAGATGTGATTAATCCACTTCTAATCCCATATCAAGTGATCGGGTCTGATTTCTGATTAAGTTAGCAGACTCTAATTTTTCACACTTTCACTCATCTAGACTATTGCCAATTCTTCTTCCGGCTCTTGGAGAGTACAGACGCTTTTTTCCTCCTCTCCTCCCTATCTTATCCCAAGGCTCTTTGTTTGTCTTTGGGTGTACGGCACTTCTTCATTTTTTCTGGAAACTGGAAATTATTAAAAATGGACCTGGTCAGCTGGTCTCTCAACGCGATTGACAAAATTTTCTCAACGGTGAGAACTGGAGAAGGGGCTCCTGGGTGCCCCTCTGGGACAGAGCCAGTTGGGCATATCATGGACTCCTGGAAACAGTGGAACCTGATCTGCTTATCTCAACTGTCTGTAGAGGATTCTGAAGACGTACGGATATTCGTGGTGTTGGTGTCAGGTTTCCTACTTTTTGGCCTGGGAGGTTACCTGGCTTTCCGGAAAATTAACGAGCTATCGAGGAATATTGGCTCTTTCCCGGAGCTCAGGGATGGATTACACCGTACTGTGAATGCACAGACTCATAATTGTCGAGAGGAGTCGTAAGCTTGGAACTTTGGCTGAGATTCATGCTTTGGCACAAAAGATGGATGCGATCAAGGAGCGAGTGGACAAATCAGCACGGATTGGGATAGATTAATTTATGCCATTATTGGATTTTGAGAGGTTGAGGACCAAGGGAACTTTAAGACAGAGAAGAAATTATCTCTGTCTGGCCCCAAAACAATTTTTTATCTGAATCTGGTGCCCTTGAGCCTGTGAGGCTGAAACGAATACCCCCCCTCAGAAGAAATGTGGAATGGTGCCGTTGCCATGGCAACTCTGTCTCCCTATCCCAGCCTGGGCGGGACTGCGAGCTGTGAAGGCGGCTGAATCGTTCCAGGAGTCACTGTGCCCTCTAAACCCAACGACCTCCTCCCCCTGTCCAGACTGAGGTGACGAGCGCTGCGTATCGCGGCTGCATTCACTGACGTGTGGAGAGTCCCAAACCCTACCACCCCACCTAGTGGACACTTATGTTATGTAATGTCTGAAGTCTGTTGCATTTCTGTCTGAGGTGTTTTTTGCATAGCAAAGCTGCCCTCCCTGTGGAGGGTAACTCTGAAGTGCCTTTTTTTCCCTCCACCTGAACCAATCCTCATATAAACCCTCTAATCTCTATTAAGGTAGCGCAACTCGGGTTGCGAATGACCACAGTCACCAATTCATGTCATGTGTCGATGTTTGTATGTCTGATCCCAGAATTGTGTGTACTGAAATTCTAATTTCCATCTGGGATTAATAAAGTATCTTTGAATTGAATTGAATTGAAGTTAAGCTAAAGGGCAGCTAGCCCCTCAGCAGTAAGGAAAGCATTTTATAAACTACGTTCTGCCACTCTCTTCATTTATGTTTTATTGCAGTTTGGTTAGGTCGAACTCCCGGGAAACTTGGACAAGATTCACTGATCTAGTCATGAAGTGAACCATTTTTGTAGTTTATACAAGGTCATGCTGTCCTCAGCCTAGTTTACTCATGTTGTGCTACTGAAGGGTGAATTGTGTCAACACAAACTAACTGGGTCGAACCACGGCGCACTGCTACTCAGATTCTGAATTCTAAGTTAAAAATTAGGACAATCAGAGCAGAACTGGTAGCACAGAAGTACGTTTGCGCTGTCTGGTGAATCCTGAGGGGTAACAAGCAGATTTGTAACTCTCAGAGAGTTCCTGCTTCAACATCTTTACTGCCATTTCTGAAATAATGATGGGTAATCTTCCAGAGAGGCGAGCTGAATAAGCTGGTCTATATTCAGCACTTGTTGAGGGGGGCACGCATCGTGAACGGGGCACCGTGCCCTAAGCGCTACGGGTGGGGGGTGTCTGATTGGGTCAAAGCTATCCAAGGAAAACTGGTCCAGTCGCTTCCAGATTCTATATCTGCGATGGGTAAATACACAGATAATAAAAACTAAACGAATGACCCGGCCAATGCCGGAGACCAGGAGGCACAGACAGATCTGTCACACACATAAGCCAACTTCCTGAGTCTCCATGACACCGTCTGGAGATTTCTAACTTCATCTTAGAATTAATTAGCTTCCTGAATTTCATCACTTAATTATCATGAACCCAGAAATAATGACTTTTTTCTCTTCCTCTTGACAGCAGAGGCTGATGGATAAGTAGATACCAGACGAAAGAAAATGAAGGTCTATATGTTATGTTTTTATTCCTTCATTCAGTCATGTATTTTTTCTATTCATTCATTCATTTGTGGATTAATTCGTTCTGTATTTTAACACCTTAATCTAACAGCTGAAATGTCTCATCGCCCCTCATTCATTTCCACAGGAGCGTTTCATCATTAAATCAGCTGTGTTCACAATCTAAAACAGGCAGAAAGTGTGCTGGGAGCAGACTCCAGCACTAGCATGTCGGCAGGCCACTTCACTATTGACCGACAGAATTCCTGGTTAATAACATGACCTCGATCCTGAGAGGAGGAATCACGTGACCAAAGGGAAAAGCTGTAGCATGTCGGCAAACCCGCACACTGACTCAGAGCGCTACAAGCTACGGGCGGCTAGCAGACAGGACTGTGGCTAACAAGACAAGGCAAACAAAACATATTAAAGTTGTACTTACAAGCGCAATGGGACGATCGTTAGCTCCGCATCCAATGAGAATCCTTATTTGTCTCTGAGCTCTCATGATTCAGAAAACTCCCGACATTGACTCTTGTTTGACTAATTTTGTGGTCGGACGTTGCTTTTCTTTTTTTTTTTAGCTTCATCGGATGAATCCTTTTGAGGCTCCACCATGATGAACACGTTACGGTAAATGCTAACCAGGCATAGCTAGTCTGTTCTGAGGCGTAAACATGGGTAAAGAAGCTTTGTGAGACTTCAGGGGAGCTGCCCGGATTGTCTGAAGTTGCAAGTGCGGTATTCTGACCACAAGAGGAGGAGGGGCCTGAGACCTTTCATTAACCATGTAAAGGGTCATTTTAGCACATTCTGGCTGAAAAAAGGTATTTAAAAATATGAAAAATGTACTTAGTTTGCCTTATCTGACTCATTCATATATTAATAAATAAATAAGTAAATTCATTTGTTCTTTCATTCATCAGATTATTTTACAACTTCACATCTATAAATCCATGGTCCTGTTCGATTTACCCATTTCTGATTGTTTTCTATGTTTTTGGTGTACTTAGTAGCTCAATCAGGAAAATTGTACTTTGAATTTTTCCTTTTTTTTACATCGTACAGCGTCGATAAAACATAAAAAAATAAATAAAAGCTACAATTTACTGCAAATTTGAGTCAAACGAGTGTGAAAACCCCGTTCCCCTGACTCAACCGGTCGCAGGAAGTTAGATTTTACCTTCACTTATTTATGATTTATAATCTTTTTACAATTGTTGTGATGATGTCACACACCATTCCCAAACTACTTGGAAAAAAAGCTCCACACATTCTGACATTTGTACTTGGAGTTAGAAATCTAGCGCCCCCCCCCCCCAACCCCCCGCCAAAGTAAAGTAAATAAATAACACAGAATTTCATCATCGCCATCTTCTCCTGAGAACAGGACGTGAAGCATCCCATCTCAAACTTGAAAACGTAAACTCATTTAAATTTAAACTTCAACGTGACTTTTTTTCGTAACAAGTTAACGTTTCCCCTCAGCAGCTATTCGTCAGAGGCTTGATTTGTTTTGACAAAAAGCCTGTGCTCCTCTGCATCGATGTGTGGTTACCATGGTGACCCAGATTAGCCACTGGCAGCATCCTGAACATGTCTTTGTGCTTGTTTTCTCAAATGCTGCCCAGTATGATGTTCTTTTGTCGTCTTTGATGACTTTTCGTCCCTTAAACTCAGTAAAAGCAGCAGACACTCCACTGGTCCTGATACAGGAAGTGTTTATGTCTTTTAACCCCCCCCCCCCCCCCCCCCTCACCCCCCTACCAATGATGGAATGAGGCTGCAACACACAATGCACCTGCAGTCTAACATAAATAACAATGGTAAAATAAATCATTATGGAGAAGGGGTGTTGTGCAGTTCCCCAAACACAGTTGTCCTGTGAATAGCCCCTTCTTATTGTTTCTAAATTCAATACCCCCCCATGTGCTTCTTTTATTACTTGTCTCGTTTATTGCGGCGCCGTGTCGCTTCATATCGGGATTCCTAAATGAAGTTTTTGCAACAAAAGGTTATTGAAATAAGATCCAGAAGGATGAGTGATGCCGCCGAGAGTTAATTGGCTTTTTCAACGTTGGATCGTAGTCCAACCCCTCTCTGGAGCAAGTTGCCATGGCGATCCACCTGCACGGGAACACCTCTGTGGAGAAAAAGGGCCGACTAATCTCTTTTTACTAGTTGAGGATTGTTTTTTTTCCCGCGCCTCCTTGACTCCGTGTCTAATCTTTCATTAAATATGTAAAGCGAGTTTGAGGGAATTTGGAATCTGCAAGGTCCATTTAATCTTTAGGGAAAACAACAACAACCTGCTTCATTTACTCCCCCTCCGCCAAGGCGTCATTAACTTTTCAATCCGGCCAGGCTGATTACCTCTTCAGGTCTGCCCAGAGCCGGGGTGCCGGTGAGCAGGATGGACCGCGTGGCGCTCTGAATCAGAGGGACCAGGATCTTGGTCCGAGCCGCGTTCCGGGACTTTAGGTAATGTGACTCGTCCACCACCACCACGGCGAAGCGCTGCCTGGTCAGAGCCTCCACTAGGGGGCGGGCGTCGGTGGTGAGAAGGCCATAACCCAGAACCGTCACCTTGCTGCTGCTGATGCCCCTGGAAAAGAAAGATAACTTCTCATTGATTGGCTGGAAAATTTACTCAGGATGAAAACGAGTAAATTCGTGGAACAGAGACATCCAAACCAGGACACTTGAAAGCTTCACAAGCCATGTACCAAATAGTTTTTCAATTTTCATTTAAATTTCTTTGTTCTGCTAAAACTCTGCCTTTTATGTGAATACAGAATGTTTAATAAGTATTTATCTACAAAAGCTGTTGATACAAATAGCAGTTCAAAAAACTTTTTTTATATATATTTTTGCCTAATTTCTGAGACTTTATGACAAAATTTACACTTTGAACCTTAATGGACCATTTTAACCAACCAGTAAAATTCTTATATGTTCATTGTGTTATTAATAGTCTTGTTATACTAATCAATGAGCCTGTTCTTCGTATATTTTATCAATAAATCATCTACAAAGTAGAGAACTTGTTTCTTTAACAAACAAACAAAACAAAAAAATCAATTGGGGGGGGGGGAAGGTTGTTGTTGGTTTAGCATCCAGAAACAGCAAAGAACGTCTCAGCTAGTAGCAGCTAACTGTTCCAATCTGAGGCGACATGTCCAAATACCAGGAAATAAGACTCTAAATCCTGCGGTCAGAAGCTCTACTCTGACATGGCTCACTTCTGCTTCCTTAAACGGGCACACCAGAGCTTTGTTTCCCCCAAGTATGACTTACAAGGCATTCATTCCTACTAGATACCACTGCAAATGTATTGAACAAGTGATCCAAACCTTTAATCTTTTTAAAGGACAATCAAATTAAACATCATAAAAACACCAGAGAATCCCAAAAATCAAAAATTACTTTTGCAAATCTAGCTAAAGCTAACATAACTTTGTTTAGCTACAATAATTTATAAGGATGAAGCTAAAATGAGCTAATATAGCTTAAATAATTAAAGTTAGCCCAGCTGAAAATGATTTAAGACAGCTACATTGCAATATACATGTAGCTAGCATAGCACCAGTGAAGCTAAGATGATTTAAGCTAGTTTGGTCAAATTTGATTTCTGACAGTAAAGCTAAGCAAATTTTGGCATTGCTATAATCAATTTAAGACAGGCTAAATGTGGGCTACTACAGCCACAATAATTAAAGCTAGAAGACGGTGTCGGTCCAGGATCTGCTCGGGTGCAAGATCGGCTCAGGGTCCTTCGACTGCCGATGACGTCAATGTACGGCAAACCCACTCGGACAAAATACACTACACATCTATACTGTTGGAAAGAATTTAGCAGTTTCGTTATTAAAATAATGTTTCTAATGACGTAAGTTTGTGTTTATAATGGTATTTGTAAAATAAAACACTATATTGTATTCATAATGTTGAACTCCTCTTTGAGCACATCCCTTGAAGGATCATAGGTATTAGCAACACCTGTGAAATTGTATTTGCAGGAAAGAAGTGTGTCCCGTTTATTGAAGTATTTTGTGTTTAGAGTTTTTGACGTCTTGTCCATGCGTAGTTCAGTTACGCTCATAGCTGCTAGCCAAAACTCTGGAGTTTAAAGTTTTATGGCTTCACTAAAATACCTGTCTGTACTTATTTGATGGTAGTTTTACTTTCTATTAGACTCCAAATGTAATCATTTGGCACGTTTCTAATTCATAATTTGTAAGAATGTAATCAGTGATATTAGCATTAGCATTCCTATGGGTTTTTCCATGTATATTAGCATTGCGCTAACCACTCGCTGCCAAATTGCAGCCTTTGCGATTAGAAAATCTCCTTTTGTCACATCGCAATTTAATTGCACATGAAATTAATCGTTCAGCCCTAATATACATGCAGCTCTATGCTAAAAGTGTATTTTCAAAGAGGTAATGATGTATTTCTTTGTAAAAGTTGTCCATCTTTCCAACAGAAACATTTGCCTGGTCCAACGTAACGTGATAACAACGTAACGTGATTACGTAACTTCCGTGAGGCTCATGTTCAGCCAATTAACTACTTTGACGTCATCGGCAGTCGAAGGACCCCGAGCCGATATTGCACCCGAGCAGATCTTGTGCCGACAACGGTAATGTAATTAACAGGTTAACAAACCGGATACACGCTAATCAAGCTAAAACTATTTAACAAGAGTTAAGCTAACACTAATCAACATGGTCAAGCTGAACTAATTTATGCTAGTTTTACTTTATGTAATTCATTCTAGTAAAGATAAAACTTTGTTAGGTCAGTCATGCTAAGCTACTTTAGATAATATTGCACAACTAATTCATGGTAAACAAGCTAACACTTATTTTGACTAGAACAGGGCTCATGATCGCCATGTTGGCGGCCTACGAGTCCTTACTTGTTGCTTGGTACTACTGACAACAGCACGCCCAGTCTCGTTCTTGCGGCATAAATTAATTTATTAGTCATTTGATCGGTTATATTACGCAACCATGGCAAACCGTTGCTGTGTTGTGAGGTGCAACATGCAATGGCCAGGAAAAATGCTGGAAAATGAGCTAACTTTCCATAGTTTTCCTGCTTGGAGCCATTATCACAGGGACCAAATATCTAACATACCAAAGTCTCGTCGGCTCACTTGGATCGCAGCTGTGAGGCAACCAAGCATCACCTTCCGGAGTAATGGTAAGATACAGATGGCGTACGCTGTTTCTTTTCTTCAACCGCTACACACACATACCGGTAGGCAAATGCAGGCGCACTGACACACAACACAACTTTTCCTGCTCTTCATCTTCTGTGGGATGACAGTTTTGATCGTTTTACTAGAAAAACCAGCAAATGTAACGTTCACCTCTCATCCGGACGTTTACATCCGCTCACATCACAAACAAGAAAGCCGAAAATGTCCGTTACGCAGAACTACGGAGGCAACAAGTTGTCGTCGGTGCTCCAGTCTGTGATCTTCCACATGAATCCAAACCGTTTATTGTGCTGGTTTTTGTCCACATGCCGGTCACTCGCGGTTTATTAACACTCGTAAGCCCACCAACGTGTCTGCGCACACCCCAGAATGCAACGCGTAACCACGTGTGATCACTGTTGCTAACTAAATAAAGCTAATAAACTCAGCCTAAACTAAGTTTTTAGACAGTCAAGCTAATGCTAATGTAAATTACTCTGCCTAAAACTTTATTTTCTGAAAAAAAAAAATACAAATGATGTCAGAATATTCCCACTGATGTTAATTATATCACACGAAAAACATTTTGCTGTAATCATGTTGTATCTTGTCAAGTGAAATTAAAATTAGCCCTCCTAATGAGGAATCAGCGGTCAATGCTGCCACTGTCAACTCTGGAGTGTAATTGGGTTTTTAATTTCTAAAAATATCAGCTTGAATTTTCTTTGAAAGTTTTCTTTATTTGTTACTGAGCTGACATGAGTGTTTAAAAACAAGATGGCTGCCTCTGAATACAGTATTTATCTTTGGGAGCACTAATGAGGTTTAGCATCGCTTTCTTGTTAGCTTTTAAAACGATGACAACAAGAACAAAAGTCGTCGCCTTTCAGACTGAGCGGCAAGTGTTAACATTTCAAACAAGAGCCGGTGCTTAGTGGCTTGGAAACTCCAAATATGGTGTGTTATTTTTCCTCTTTATCAACATTTCCATGTTTCTTAGCTGCTTAGAACACCAAAAAAGCAGATAAACAAACAAGCGGTTGACTTCTAGAGGCATGAAACTCGAGGAGCAGTTGAGAGGAATCAAAAAAGCTCTTTCTTAGCATGCGCTGGGGCTTTCATTCCTCGCCTTCTGCCACGCCGAGCACCAGCGCGGGAATAAAGAACCCCTGATGTTCTACAGAACGCTGAGAGGAGAGGAGGTGGTGCTGCTCAGTCATTAACACATCCAGTTCAAGGACACGTTTTTCCCCCAGAAGGCATTCACAACCTCTTTGCACCTCAACTGTGATGTGCGATGGAGAGAGCAACCCCCCCCCCCCCCCAACACACACACACACACACACGCACCTCAACTGGAATAAGTAGAAAGTTGGTCTTGTTCAAACTATTAATAAAACACAAAGAGGGGGAAAGTTGGAATGATGTTTTTTATGCTAACGTGTAAAATTTGTCCACAAATGCACATTTTCTCAAGGACAGCCCCCCCCCCCCCCCCCAAACTTTCCGCTCTTGTTCAATAATGCAGACGTCACTCCGACATGATTTGTCTGTCAGAGCTGTCAGGCGTCGGCCCGTCAGCTCTTGACATGGAGGAAGATTAATTTATCGGCCCCGCCCCCACCATCCATCCCCGCCCCCCCACATCTTGTTAAGGTAAATTATTACCACTGCCCATTGTTGTGAGCTCAGGTAGCCTTTCTATTCCGTGATGATGGTTATTATTGTTGCACGGATGAGAAATCAGCTGGATTATCTGTGCAAAAGGGTGTTTATCCTAACGTTAGTGCTAATGTGATTTACGCTGATGAATTTTTGGGTTTCAGTACCAAAAAAATGAATTTTGTTGAAAATGTACCAAAAAATGCACCGATCCCAGTTTTAAAGGCCAATTCTGATTTTCAACCAGCCGATTTCTTTTGTTTGTTTTTCCACATTTTCTGTTAAATGGCTGAAGTCTTCATTACTGTAGAGTAAGATTAGATAATCCTGACGGAAAAGAAAGCAAATTAGAGCTTAGAAATGTTTGTGTTATCAGGCAGAAGTCCTAAATTACCAGCGTAGCTGCGGCACATTCCTGGTTTTGATGGTCAAGCGTTAATAATTATCAGGTTTCATTTATTTCTCAGATGATTTTCTAAGTTTCACAACAATTGAAAATACACATTAAAAAATGTTAAGAGATTTTTGGTATTCTTGCACCTTTTCCAATCCTAAACTCAAGATCTTCTTCAAGCGCTTTCAAGATTTTCTTCATTTTTATACTGGTTGTTATTCACACGCGCACATTTACACTTTCTTGTCTCACGAAAACAAAACGTATTGTTCTGAAATCAATTCATAATTAAAAATAAATAACTTTATGGAAATCCCGAGCACTTTTCAGGATTTCAGAACCTACAAAGTTAATGAAGCTAAAAATAATCAGGTTCCTAGTTCACTGAGAAGCTAATACATTTTGATTTTTAGCAACAGATCAATGATTCTTCATGATCGTCATTAAAATTGTCAAAAAATAAACTATGATCGCAGTGCTCTTGGTCAATTCTGTTTTTGATTTCATTCTAATAATAAAAACATACAAAACCACCTTTCCACCATTTAAGGGAACATTTGACGACTAAGAAGTACGATAAAATAACGAAAGCCCAAATTTAGGACGGCCAATTGTTGGAAATAGTCAACAATGGTGTTTTTGTAATGCTGCAATGTTAAAAAAAAACAGAAATTTCAAACCTTAAAATGGCCTTAAAAAGCCTAAGAAATCTTGAAAACCTGTAGTCTGCTTCTGCAACCTGAGTAAGAATGACTGTGATTGGTGGATCGCTGCGTGTCAGGGACCCAAAACATCACGAGAGCACACTGGGTCCGACTTTATAGCGAGAACTGCGATGTGAAAATTACGTACACTTACATTGCGATGTCGACGCTCAAACTTACTAGTTTTTTCCCCCCAGTTAGCTTTTCTCTTTCCAAAACCCCGGAGGATTATAATTTACATTCGTCATACGTCGTACATACGTCAGTTTTTGCTGATGTGGGCTAATTTATAAAAACTTTTTGCTAATTTCTCTCTCTTTTTTTTTTTTTTACTTTTTCTCACGTTAAAACCAACGTTTCTTGTTGAGGCTGCAGATCAGGACTCACGGTGATCCGATCTGCTCACTCGCTCTTTTACCAGCTCAATTAAAAATTGTTTTCTATTCTTTGGAATATTTTTATTAATGAAAAATTTGCTGTTTGCAGGTTTATGTTAATCCAGAGCTGCGGCGCACTAAGATTCATGCTTAGAAGCATCAATTCATTAATCATTCACAGGAGGTGACACAACTAAGTAAATTAGAGCTGCTGCTGAATGCTAATGTGTTTGAATCTGCAGGTTTGAGTAAGTAGAGGCCACGACAGCGTCTCAATGGTATAGGAGCGATGACCTACATGGTGTGGCTCTTGTTTTCCACCAAACAGATGTCTCCAGGCTGCAGCTCGGGGATCCACCTCTCCAGCTCCTCAATCCAGGGATATTTGAGGGAGGAGGGCACCACCACCAGGAGGGGCCACTCCTGCCTATAGGCGTATGCCACAGCGATGGCCTGCACCGTCTTCCCCAGACCCATCTGGATCAAATCAGCACATGGCAAAGGGAGAAAAGAAAACAAGTCAATCGCACGGTGGAGTCGGCGGCAAATTGCACATGACGGCTGAGTTTCTGAGAGGCCCGATAGTAATCAGATCTCAGAATGATTCCAGTGTCAGAACCCATTAGGACCACGGCAGCGCCACGCCGACTCATTCATCTAGAAGGCGTCGCGCAGCAAAGACTCTGCTTCATTTTGGGGGGGAAACAGATTCTCCGACTCTGTCCGCTTACCTCATCAGCGATCATGCATCTGTAAAACAAGGAAAAGAGCTTTATTAGATTCAAACCGATCAACTAAAAGAACTCCTTTAGTTCAGCTCATGAACAGAAAGAAACCAGCCCCCTCACATTCAGTCCTTCGTAACATACGAGTTAGCAAAATGTTTTCTGTATCTAAGGCAACCCTAACCCACAAGGTCAGAGAATTTGAGCTCCTGCTGCCTAAACCCTTCACAGTTTCTCCAGGAACGTTCCGTTTAATAATAATTTAGTGTTTAATTAAGACGATCCTAAAAAAAGTTTTATTCCAAACGATCCCAAAGATGACATAAATAAAAAATTTAAATTAGTTCTTCATTCCACTTTCAACCATGCTTTACTTTTGTAATCAAGGACACATTTCTACCCCTTCCCAAGGATAAACTTGTGGTTGTGTTTCATACAAGAGCAATGGCAGAATGAGGGCAAAACACACTGCTAGTGAATGATGAATATTGACAGTTATGAGGAATACAAGCAATATTTTTTCTTTCGATCCTATTTTTTAAGCATCATTTTTTTATCGATTCCCCTTTTCAACGTCTAGTCTTCTATAGCAGCTCTTCTGAGCTTCTAAAGCAGCGTTGTCTGGAAAAGCCTAGACACTACCTGAATACTTACACTAACACTGTAATTGTTATGGAGGTGACGAAGGCCTAAACATTTTGTTTGTGGGATATTTTTTCTAGTGTGATAAAAGCAGCTCTGGTCTAATACACTACCAGGAAGCATGCTCAACACATCTTTAACTCATTCACTGCCACTGACGACTAAAGTCGTCATTTTAGATCCAATCGTTCACCGCCATTGACGACTAAAGTCATCATTTGCATTTTTTTTTACTGTTTGAGCATCAGAACGAGCCCCCGCGCTGAGAGAACAAACATCTCAGCCTTGAAGCCGATCTTCATCCGCATACGTCACGTGATCAGGAAACAGAACATCCATGTGTTAGGAGATCGTTTTGGGACGTTCCTGTAAAAAAGGTGAGGCGCGAATCAGAATACCATCTGCCGATCACAATTCAACAACAGATTATGAAAGAATGGATTACGGTCAAAACACGCGGATTCTTCCTGATGTAAGAGGTGAGTCTCCTTTTTTTTTTGGTTGTTTTGGCGTCAACATCATCATAGCGCGCAACGTTCTGTGACTCTTAAAAAAACAGTAAAAACGGTGAGAAACGCTGGCAGCGAAGGCCGTTAGCGATCAGGAAACGGCTGGCAGTGACTGAGTTAGTGAGCAATTCCACCAACATCAAATATTGTTTTTTGTCTCCTTAAAATGTGAACTTTGCACAGGATGAGTTGTCAGGGTGTTTGTTTACCTGAGAGATGAAGCAAATCTGGTTGTGAAGTGTGATGCTAATTTCCAGTTTTTGTGTTTGGATTTTAACTCTAAAAATAAACAACTCTAAAACAACATATTTCCTGTATTTTTTTTCCGTTAAAAGTAAGTAATGTTAAAGAATTTAAATATTCTGGTCGTCGTCGAGGATAACCCGGGTTGGTTAGCCTAAACAAGTTTTTAGCTAAGGTAAGTTAACTAATCAGAAAAATATCTTGAATTTGTTTATTGTACGTTGAATAAATAAAATGAAAAATCATTTCAAGTAATATGTGTTAGTAATAGGGCTAAAGAAGTTAACTCCGTTAACTGAACACTGAAATTGTTTAAACTCAAGTTTACACATTTTCATTATTTCTGTTTTTTAAAGTCTGATGATCGCTGCCTCAAAAGAGTGTTGGTGACTCCCCTCGTAGCCAATCAGTGACAGACAATCTTATGACATTGCATTTTTGACCCAGCAAGGTTCACTTGAGCATTGGTTCCATCGAGGGGTCTGAAACAGGTTGAAGCATGTTAGAACACCCCAGTTGTAAAAGTAGGCCATATAACGACCCGGACCACAATGTTTATTGGCCCACTTTAGTTGTAGATCCATAGGACAATGGAGCAGTACAGCAAGGGCAGAACGGAATAGCTACAGCGGATTAGTACCACTAGGGCAGAGCAATAGAGCTGAAACAACTAATCGATTTAATCGATTATAATCGATTACTAAAATAGTTAACAACTTTTTTAGTCATTGATTAGTTGTTTAATAATCATATTTTACCGCATAAAGTCTATTTTTTACCACAATCTGACATCGGTTACAATCTGTTAAATTTGCCGCCAGAGTGTGGCAGTAATGAGCCACTGATCTACCAGTGGAGCCATAGAAGAAGAAATGAGCCAATAAGTGCCCTCGGTTTTCATGACGTATCACGTTACTGACGCGCATCTTGCTGTGAGAGATGGCGGAACAAGAAGAAATACGGAAGAAAAATAGAAGCGACAAAACTGAAGAGAAACCCCGGACAAAAACCTCACGAGTATGGGAGCACTTCACTCTAGATGCCATGAAAAGACGGGTGACCTGCAAAATATGCAAAAACCATCTAGCATGGCACGGAAGCACAACGTCCCTAAGTGAACATTTGAGACGAAAACATGTGGGGGCTGATGCAGCAGAGGAAAGTCCGGTAAATCCGGTAAGTAACAGAAAATAAACAAGCTAACGCAGATCAAATTTGGGAGCTGAGTTCGTTATAGTGGATGTTAAACATGTTTTTTTGCCGCGTAAGTCTACGGTGTTCTACTTCTGATTGACTAGATGCAATCGTGAATCTCCTCCGTGTTGTGAATCATGCGCTTGCCAAATTTAGCACGTCTGTTTATAAGAATGTTCTCGTTAAGAGAAAAACGGCACAAACCCATAACTATGTTCCTCATTCAAAAAAGGACAACTCCGCGGAGAAAAATATACAGACGAGCTGTGTCCAGGTGAATGTAACGCGGCATAGTTGTACGCTTTCAATTTTTAAATACAGGAGAAATTCAGAAAGTCCTTTTTTTACTATTAAAAGGCTGTTTTACTGTCTAACGCTGTAAAACGCCTCACAACACATTTTTGTCAAAATAAACGATCACTGTACATTGTTAATTAATTCAAATAATGTAATATTGATTTAGTGTTGTAGTGTGTGTGCTGCTTTATTTTATATGTGTACTTATTTCAGTCTATTTGTGTTTCTTATGCAGAAAAAAAAACAAGCAACGATGGACAACTACATGGGGAACAAGACACTCACCCCCCAGCAACGCATACCACTTACAAACTCTATTCTAGATTCTACATTATTTTTTATGGAATTTACCTCTTATATTTTGATGCCAAAAAATTATTCTGGACTGATATTTTGCACTGTTTAGCTCATTTTACACCGCTGACTGTGTTCATGTGCAATAAAATAGATTGCAATCAACTGCACAATTCTCTTATGTTTTTCTTTTTCTTAACTGAAATGTATTCATCACTTGTATAGGTTAAATAGCTAAACAATAACAAACCGATTAATCGATTAATCGAAAAAATAATCAACAGATTAATCGATTATGAAAATAATCGTTAGTTGCAGCTAGGGCTGCAACAAACGATTATTTGGATAATCGATTAATCGGATGGGGTCTCGACACGATTAATCGATTAATCGGATTACATGGGGAAATTTTTAAAAACTGCTAGGGAAACGTTATTTCTCTCCTTCCTTCACTTTATTTAACACAACATTATTAGAAAACAGTTCAATAGCAGAAAAACAACATGCCATCACCTAAATTGTCTTATAAGGTGTATAGACAGAGACCCTAAGCTACATCTATCTGTGACCTAAAATGCTTGGTCCAAGTTAAACAGCTTAAGGGCAATTCTCATCTGTTTTGTTTGATCTCATCTGTTAATATTTATTTTAAATGTAATTAAACATAGGCTGTGAATTAATCAAAATTGATCACTATTTCCAAAACTGACTGAAAAAATACCAAATAAAACAAAAGTAAATGAATGCCATCCTCCTTGCGATGATGCCCTGGGCAACTGCCATAAAGTCACATCAAGAAATGCTGCTGATCATTCCAATGATCCCAAATAGACTCACATTAGGCCACATGAAAGCAACTGAACCCAAAAATATATTAACCAGTATATAACTGCACTCTCACACAACACGCCTGCAGCAACAGTTAGGACTCCTCCCTCCCTTTTAAAAGCGTTTTTGCTTCTGAGGACATTGTGGTTGTAAAACCACATGCTAGTAGTCTGGCCCCGGTGTGATCAACCAGTTTCTGCGGGAATGTGACGGCGGAACCAGGGCCAGATTAACACTTTGTTGTACCCTGGGCAACAATATTCAAGGGCTCCATCATCACGACCCAAGGATCACCATAATGTGGTCACATACAGAATATTTTACTGTAATATGCAGTAAATATACTCAATACTTGAATGCCTGACAACACGTAACCCGCCCAGAGTAACCTTTGACCCACCTCGTGTGGACTGACCAATGAGGAGAGGGTCTTAACTTGAGGCCCTCTCTTCATTGGTCAGTCTGCATGAGACTGACTCTCAACTGACATTCAGTCGTAGGCAGCGAAGCGTCTCTGTGCAGCGCAAAAGCCCGGGTGGACAGTTTGTTTAATATAGGGTGACCATATTTCCATTTCCAAACAAGAGGACAGGGGATCTGTGCCTATGACGTCACACTATGGCAACGCCACACAAACCATGTTGGGACCCATTTTTTGTAAGAACTAAATTAATATCAGATTCTGCCAATTAAAGGGCTCTAAAACTATTCATATGTAAATATTTTGCATATTTAATGCAAAATCTAATTTTTCTGCTTTAGTGCTGCAACAAGGTTTTATTAATAATAAATTATTATACCTTTTGTTTTACTACAGCATCGGTAAGCTTCCTGTGCACAGATTATTAAGGATGCTTGTTTCAGCTGTGAGATTAGACGATAGGATCAATGAAAAAATAAGTTGTCACACACTCCATGGAAACTTTCAGAGAATCCACAAATAGCAGCTTTCAAATGGTTTTGTTACTTTTTGCAAGTTTAGAAAAGCAGCAGATGAGACAGCATGTCTGATAATTTA